TTATAGCAATTATATTCAATATTTAAACAACAAAAACAGGTAATTTCGTAAGCCGATAAACAGTGCAAAACACTAAAAAAATTTGCTAAAAACCCATCAAAATCAAATAACGAGAGCAGAAAATCGTAAGAAAAAGTAATACCCAAGTGTAATTTTAAGAATGTCTGCATTAAGAATTCAGTATGGAAAGAGACAAACAAATTACGCGTTACGACTACAGCAATCAAACTTTAATCTATTGGAATCTGTAATGAATCTATAACTGATAAGAACCGCTATCAATGTAAAATTTCGACAACTAAAACACTTCTGGAAACCAAGAAATCAAAATAAAATACTTGCCTTTTCTTTTTTTAAAAAACAGCGGCAAAAACCCCGATAAATTTGTATAAGAACAAAAATGGTTCCAATTCAACAGAAATCCAAAACTATCGTCTCCCAGTTCTCAATGAAGGTTCATCAATGACCTCAAAGTTGCTGCTAATTGTAAAAAACTTTTTCTTCTTCTTGTTTGTTCAACGTAGGAAACGTTGACAACAATGACAAAACATTAAAAAAATTTTTTTTTAAATAGGTAAGTAATGTTGAAAACGATGTAAAGGTTACTTGCTCTGAGAACAAACATATCCTTCGATGCTCCTCCTATAACAAATAAAATCAGTTTTTTTCAACAAAATCAATAAAAGAGACAAAAAAAAAAAAAACCGGGATATGTGGGCATATTTTTTCTGAATTTCAAATAAGAATTCAAAACAAAAATATATATATATATAAAAATTATATTTTTGTTCAATTATTACTACTCAAACACAAACTTATTGCTGTTAAGCACCATTTTACTTAGCTTTTCAAAACCCATCAGCCCTATACTTGCTCTGACAAATATCTGTCCCAAAACCTCAGTTTTTCAAACAAACAGCGGTATGAATCACAAAAAAAAGTGTCACCAAAAAGTAATCATAAATTCAAATGTTCAACAAGAAAAAAATAATAAAATTTTTTCCAGAATTCACATAAAATAAGAAAAATTGGAAAAAAACCGAGGTTTTTCCAGTTGACAAAATTCATAGATAAATAGCCCAAACGCTTCTAAAATAGCTCAATTCTCCTGCGGTACTATTAAGAAACTGTAAGATGACAAAAATTTCTTTTTCCGTCATAAACCTACAAATCATTAAATCACACTATCAAATTATTCAAGCCGAGCTACAGAA